GGAAATAGTCAAAGTTTTAGAGTCATAAAACCTCACCTGCTATAAAATTTTTATTTTTTTCTACACTTAGCAGTAATGATACACTTGGTAGTGAACATTAAAGACTGAAGTACTAATGTCTAGTTTAAATTTTTACTTTCTCATTGCCTAACCTCTCTGAACTCATGAATGGTGATTTCATTTTTTTGCAGACTTTAACATTTGTTATTTTCAATTTTATCCTTTTACCTTTTGAGACTATGTTGTTAGATCATACAAGTTCCTAATTGTTATATCCTGTTGGTGCATTATTCCTTTATATTGAGTCTCACTCTATCTTTAGTAATGGTTTTCCCTCTATATAGACTATCTACTATTAATGTTACAGTACCAACTTTCTTTTGGTTTATTTATACGCCTAGTGTTTCTTCATGTCTCATTTTCTAAGTATATACTTTTTAACTACATATAGCTAACTTTTTAATTCAAGCATGAACATTGCTGTCTTTTGAAAGATTCATCCTGTGATATTTATTACAATTCTAAAATATTTGTAATTATACTTATTTCTACGTCTTATTATGGGTTTTCTTTTTCCATATTTTTCATTTTTCTCCTTCCTGTCTTCTGTTGGATTGAGTTTTAACATTTTTCATCTGGCTTGAAAGAAATACATTCTATTTGTATTATTTTAGTGATTTAACCCAAAGTGTGTAACATTCTTAACTTTATATCTTTAATATTTAGCTTTTTAACCAAGAGACTCTTCTAGACTAGCTCAAAGGAAACCAAATTACTGAAACTATCTTATTTAATGTTTTCCAAAGTAAGTTATTACACTTTTTAAAATATTTTGAGGAAAAATGTGTAGTTGTATTTTTATTCAATGTACTAAGAAAACAGAAATTCTAATCTTTAACAATCATAAACTAGTTTTTGAAGGTTTATCTTCATGTTAAATCCCATAATCCAGTGACTGTCAACTAATGAAGGGTACATGCACAAGGCATGGCCTTAGGAACGGTAGCACAGTAAGGATAGTACCATTTTCCCCATGCCATACACTAAGAAAGGTGGCATCATCCATTTCCAGTTATTCCTAGAGCTGTCCCTCCAGCTTACCCAGTGAGTCCGAGGATCTCTGCAGATGTTTCATCCAAAAATCCTTCATAACTTGAAAGCAGGGCCCATCTCTCCTGGGAGCTCTAATTTTCTTCTTGCAGATGGCACACTTGGTTTCCTGAAACATCCTGACATCTCATACCTTCCCGTTCTTAAGTGAGGAGCTGTGGACTTTAAAATCTATGGTGAGTAATCTATGCCATAAACCAAATGCGGGTGAAATTGTTAATAGCCAAGGATGGAACTTCTGTACTTAGTCTCACCTTACTTTGAAGATGCAAGTATGGCTAAAACTATCAATAGCTATTCATGAAAAGAGGCACAGTAGACAGTATATTATTTCTAATTGTCAGTGCCATAGGAAGATCCTTTTTTTTTCTAAGATTTTATTTATTTATTTGACAGAGAGCGAGAGAGGGAACACAAGCAGGGGGAGTGGGAGAGGGAGAAGCAGGCTTCCCGCCAAGCAGGGAGCCTGATGCGGGACTCAATCCCAGGACCCCGGGATCATGACCTGAGCCAAAGGCAGACGCTTAATGACTGAGCCACCCAGGTGCCCCAGGAAGATCCTCTTATGTAGCGCTTCCCAATTCCCTTTCTTCATCATGAAAATGCAAGTAGAAACTGATTAATGTGATATTATCTTTTTTTAAATATTTTTTAAAGATTTTATTTATTTGACAGAGAGAGTATACAAGCAGGCAGAGGGAGAAGTAGGCTCTCCGCTGAGCAGGGAGCCCGACATAGGGCTTGATCCCAGGGTCCTGGGGTCATGACCTGAGCCGAAGGCAGCTGCTTAACCAACTGAGCCACCCAAGTACCCCAAGGTGATATAATCTTAAGCAGGGTATTTTAAATGTGATCAACTATTCCCTATTAGATGGTTCTCTTAATTCACAGGATCTGTACTGGGTAACCCAGGACTACCAAAAAACTAAGACAAAGCAGCAATTTCACCTATAAACTGGTTAGTCCCTTCCCCTCAGCTCAAAGTAGTTCTTAGTGATAGAGGAAAGTAGCTTAGGCTGGGTTTCTCTTATCCTCTGTCTCAAAAAAGAGTAAGACATTCCTCTTGGAAGGTTCAGATCCCCACTTATTAATCGTTATTAGCTTGGTTGTTACCGTTTGGCCCTTCCAGCAATATTAACCCCCAAATTTGGTGTATTCCTATTGATAAAAGTTAACCAATGCTACACAAAGCTCCTTTAAGAGGAAGGGTCAGCACCAGCTAGCTGTTGTGTTGAAATGACGTATTTCATACTGTTTTAATTCTGCAAGGGACTCAAAGCCTTTCTTCTAAAACTGATCCCCCTAACCTGTGCTCTTGATTACCCCAATCTATGCCCTAGCTCCCTCCAAGCTGTCAGGATTAGTAAACCTTTGCTGCAAAATAGACACATGGCTGTCACTATGTCTAAACCCTTATAGGTCCACTCATATTAGTCACTAAGGCAAAGGATGAGGGCAAGGACTCACCCAGGTTTACAGTACCCCAGACTTCACCAACAAGAACAGTTGATCTATATCTGGTAGAACTATGGATAGTGGGGAATTGCCTCCAGGAGACAATTTTAGATCATCATATAGCAGCTTTATGGACTAAGTATTAGTCAAGAGGCATGGCCTCCCCCATAACTCAGGGTTACACTAATGCAGGCCAAAAATGCAACTTACCAGGTGTGGGGCAGTCAGAGATCCAGGAAACCATCCCTACCATAATGCCTATGGAGGAATCTGCTGAATACTTGGTACTGCCACCTGCTATCCAAGCTACTTCCTGATTATAAGGATCCTAGTTGGAGGCCCACAGCCTGACTAACCACTGGCTTTACTTCAGTCTTGGAACTTCCCAGATCTAAAGAGCTATTTCCCAGGCTACCTGGCTGGCTCATTCAGAGCATGCGATTCTTGATCTTGGGGTTGGAAGTTTGACCGCCATGTTGGTTGTAAAGATTACTTAAAAATAAAGAGCTATGTCCCAACCACACCTACAATTGTGCAAAAAAAAAATGCGTCTTACAGCCCACGTTCCGGCCTAGGCTTTCTTGAGTACTTTGACATCAACTTAATATTCAACTTATCAGGCTTTTCTCAGCCCCTATAGAGGTCATACAGGTTAAGAAAAATAATGAGGCCTACTTCGGAATAACTTTGAGATTTCAGTGAAATCAGAAATTGTATCTATTTATTGTTCCTGCCTATTCTTGATCTCCATGGGTCTTCTGACTTCTGAGGTACCTAATCTCTGAGTTCACTTGTAGAATGGCTCTCATAAACAGTGATGCCACCTAACATATACATTGACCACAACTTCTAGCATGATTTCATTGATAGGAGTGTAGCCTACTAAGTTGACATATTACTTTAATCTGACATCTTGTGAACACCTGCTCTATCACCTTCTGCAACTCTGCCCCCAAGAATACCCCAAAATGAATATTAAGAGCCTCAAGGTAGTAATTTGGGAGAAACCTCCTTTCTGTCAAGGGATCCACAAGATGCCCTCTCTAAAAAATACATGCCCCTCCAGTTTTAAGTTTCACCTGTTCTCCACTTGCCATTCCTAAACTGCTGGATCAAACCGAACACATCCACTAAGAACCCAAAGGCCATCTCCTTTGTCTATCTTGCCTCCAACAGAGAATCCAATTGGTTCACCTTCCATATCACCACAGAGTAACTTAGATCCATACTTCTTCACTCAAAAGTATCTGTCTTCTGTATTAATTATGTCCTCTCCTCTTTGTTTCCTCTATTTTCTTGTGCCCTGTGGTACCATAAATATTCTGGTAGCCAGTTAAATGCCCGTACAAATGACAGACTGCACGAAAGGAACTCCATTAACACCCGGAAAGCCAAGGTCCAGTGTATTGACTAGCACTAGGCCATAGGAAAGAACATTCAAGTGGAAGACACTGTCTCTCCTTTCATGATAGGTTCAGTAAGATTGCTGTAAGGGGACTTCAAAGGCAGAGGTTATCATTCCACTGGTTTTCCAAGTCTGTTTTTGTTCATTCATATAAACACATCTCATCTCTTTCACCACTCTACTCCATCCATCCCTAGCAAATATTATACTCCCTCAAAGGCCCCAGTAATCAGCCCTACTAATCCCAGCATGTAACTAGAACGTCACGTGGAAAGCCAAGGATTCCATTATGAAGAACAAGGAGTGTCTGAAGGAACATTTGTAGAAATGGTCCTTCCATCTTTAGAATGCCTTCAAGCATTCTTTTCTAAGCAATGTTTCCAAGCAACCAGAAATCTCTCACCACACTGATTAATAAAAAGAAACTGGAACTGAATAGTAGCACCTAGAATAAATCTGGGGGAACTTTCAGCACAACAGTTTACTTAATAGTGAGCCTTCACTCTTGCTACCATGCTTAGAATGGATTTTTCAAGGCAAGTTCTCATTTTAAACTTTGGCCTAGCTGTCCAATCACCTATGAGATATAAAGCTGGCTTTCTGTGTTGTAGTCATTGTATAAATTGATACCTTAATATCTTCTCTGTGATGTTCTCTTATGGAGCCTTGGAGAGATCCCTAAATCCAGTTTGAGATTCCTGGAGCATTGATCATTTCCTCCCTTCACCATCACCTTCAACAAATTCAACAGAACAGATCTGAATAAGGTACTCACAAACTTTTAAACTTTAATAACTTAACAAAGCAAAAGAAATAATCAGTAAAAAGTACTTGAAAATAAATGTATTAACATTTAGAACTATTCACACAATGTCTATATTGTATTATAGATTCTGATTGACCAAAAGAAATCATATAAGGTAAATTATATATGTGGTGACAAAATTATGATCAAGAAATAAAAAGAAAATGTAACTATTTTGAACCGTTTACAGATTTTTAAATCATTATCTGTAAACCTAATGTTATTAAAGTTTAAAAATTTTAACATACCAACTACCTCGAGAGCTTTATAATTTATCACAGATAGTCCAAACAAATTTGATACATTTACTTATTAGCTTACTAAACATTTAATAGAGTAAATGTCCTTTTTCAGTAGTTTGAAAAAAACAGGATTCTGATCTTTTTTTATTACTTTATGTAAAACAGTAATGGCTACAGTCATCCCTTATTTTAGGAAAAGCAATAAAATTTCTTCCTTAAATTTAAATTCTGCATAATTAGAAAGCAGAAAACTAATTTATTCTAAATATTCTGAAATGTCAATGTCAAATAATTAAATATGTGAGACTTTAGGGCCATCTACTGGTTGAAGTGTAATGTTACAAAGCACAACTACTAGACTATTAACTAAAAAAGTACAGTTATAGTTGTAGGAACTGAAAACATAAACATGGGCAAAAACCATCTAATCCAGGACACTGGTTTTTAAAGGTTTAATAAAAGAATCTCTTTCTAAGAGGAAACCCAACATATATAACAAAGTTGGACTACTAAAAGCTGAGGTAGGGGGCCTCCAACCCCCACTCTTCACTAATTTGTCCAGCAGAGGCCAGGCCAATGAAAAGCCTTAAGAGGTAGTCTGGGCAAATAACATTAACTGTGGCTTGGAAGGAGGCACAATGAGAAGGAATAATATCAGCAAAGTTTTCTCCTACCCATCTTTACCCTGAAGACATCTTAGAGACACTGGTGTACAAAGAATAGTGGTTAATGGGCACAGGGAAACCGAAGAGTAGGGGGTAGGCACCTGAAAGGCGACAAACCTCTTTTCACAAGGACATTATGTGCTCATATGATGCAACACTTTAGAAAACATTAGTATAACTTTCCTGAAAATGCAAAATAAGAAGATAACACATTTGCTTTTTTACCACAAGCTGATTAAGAACTAAATTTCTAGGTCCTATGGGCTTTTACCAGCCAGGCCCTGGACTGGTCTAGTCTTGGAAATAAGAGCCCAGTTTCAGGTCCCAGCCTCCTCCCTTCAAAAGGACATGGATGTCCACAGAATCGAGGCAAGAAACAGAGCTCTCCAAGGCCCCTCTCTGTGGCAGAGACCCCCAACCTGGATAGCAGCTTATCAGCTAGGTTTGGGGTGACAGGCTGGAGCAAAGTTCCAAAGACTCGCAAACATTCCAAGGCCACGTGAAGCACAGTACCCAGCCAGGGGGCATCCACTGGGCTCTCCCAGTTCAACTTCCATGGTGCATGCCTTTGGACAAAGCCATTAGTTTGCCGGACACAGCTGGACACTGCCTCCAGAGCCTTATAGATCTGAAAGTTATCATAGTGGTCAGCTACCTGCCTGGGCAAAGTGGCCACTGCGTTGACCAAAGCATAGTCCTCTGCTTGAGCACGAACTGATGGCCCCACCAACCCTGGCTCACTGGGAAAGCAGGTAGTGCAGAAAACCGGGTAGGTCCCAGAAGGATTTATTCTTTTGGCAGTGCACCGGTTCAGGAGACCTCCCAAAGCATCTGCCAGCTCAGAATCTAGCAACTTAACCACCTTTTCATCATAGTAATCGCAGTCCCAGTTGGGGACGCCCTGCCGAAGAAGAAAGTATCGGAAGCCATCCACAGTATAGCGATCAAGACAAGTCCTGGGATCCACCACGTTACCCAAGCTTTTAGACATCTTTTGGCCACAGACCGTCCAGTGAGAATGGACATAGATGCGGTGTGGTGGGCTCATGCCGGCCCCTAAAAGGAGGGCAGGCCAATAGATAGCATGGAATTTAAGAATGTCCTTGCCTATGATATGAGAGGTGCTTGGCCACCAAGATTTAAACTCAGCATTTGGGTAGCCAATTACAGTAAGGTAGTTGACCAAGGCATCTAGCCATACGTAGATGGTCTGCGAATCGTCCCCGGGCACAGGAATGCCCCAATGCAAGTGGCTGCTCTTTCGAGAGACAGAAAGGTCCGGCAGCTCCTCCTCCAGCCACTCAAGAACTGCGCGATGAAATGGCTCGGGAGTGATTGCCTGAGGGTCGCCCCGCAGCCACCGCTGAAGCGGCTCTCGGAACTGAGAAAGCCTGAAAATGTAGTTTTCTTCCTTGGTCCAGGATACGGGATGCCCACTCTCTAGAGATACAGGACACGAGTCCCCTGACGAACCCGACTGCCGGGTGACCTTGGCCTCAGGCAGGAAGCACTCTTCGGAGGCGCAATACCAACCTTCATAGAGCCCCTTATAGAGCAGACCCCGGGCCTTCAGCAGTCCCCAGAAATGCTGCACAGCGATCCGGTGCCGGGCTTCCGTGGTGCGGATAAAGTCGGTGGAGGAGATCCCAGCCTCCCGAAAAAGCTGCTGGAACTGGGCAGACACTCGGTCGCACAGCTCGGTGGGGGCCAGGCCCGCAGCGGCTGCTGCTTGCTGAATCTTGAGGCCATGCTCGTCGGTACCAGTGGAGAATCGCGTTGCGGCAGCGCTGGGAACTCGGAGGCGACGGTGGCGGCACAGGGCGTCTGCCAGTAGCGCCGAATACAGGTGTCCGATGTGCGGCGCCGCGTTCACGTAGAAAATGGGTGTCGTGAAGAAGGCGCGCGCGCCGCGAGCATCGTCGCGGGCACCGAGAGGGCCCGAACTGTAGTGGCGTGGGCTGGAATACTCCAGGAGCGAGACTCCACTCGTTCCCGGGCGTCCTAGCAGCCGCAGGACAGAAATTCGCAGCATGATGCCGGCCGGGCCGCAGCTGCGGAGGGGGCGTTCTGGCAGCACGTGTGAGGGGCGCATGCGCAGCCGGGGCGTATCGCCGCTTCCGGCCGGCTGGAAAGCCAATGAGTTGGGGCCCCGAGCGCCGGCCCTCTGTCGGCCGGCCGCCCCCCCCCCCCCGCCTCAGCCCCCGCCCTGGACGTCGTGGTTGTGAAAGTGGAAGCGCAGGAGAAAGATGGCTTAAAGGAACAGGGTTTAGGAGAGCTTATGAAAGCAGATTTTTGTATAACATCTTGTGTGCCCCGCTTTGGTTTTTGTAATTTTGTATTTGTGGATCTGTTTTCCTCTCTAGGCCGACTTGTTTGTTGGGGCAAGAATTTTATATTCAGACATCTTTCAAACCCCAGTCAGTGGCTGGCACGTTGCAGGACAACAAGAGTATGCACTCTACATACGCCGTGGTCAACACAGGGATTTGAAATACCATCTAAATTTTATCTCAGAACCAAGCGGACACAATAAATCTGGAAGGAGGAGTGAGAAAAGAAGAAAAATAATTACCTAAAGCGCTGAGGGAAGAATAAGAATCAGCAAACTAATGGAAATCTTTAAACACAATTTTTGTTGAATCAACCAAGGAAGTAGATTTATGTGCCAAGTCTTTGCCAAAGATTATTGAGATCCAGAGAGGTGAAATGCAGTCTGTTGTCATTGGCAAGGAAAAATCAACCTTCAACTTTATTTCTCAAAGTAGTTGTTTGTAATTTTCATTTGAAGTGGTCTTGCAGTTCTTCTACAGCAGTGTTTTTCAAGTTTGCTTTTAGTAATGGGACCCTAGTTCTTTTGGGGTGGATGCCTCCGGAGACCAGAATTGGATTAATATTAATCCTTGCTTCGTGAAACACTCATCTTTGGTCTACGATTGGCGATTTTTTTTTCATTTACATACTATGTTCATTTAATAATAAAATGCAATACAACACCTGTGAACCCACAACCCAACCTAACAACTAGAAGTGGTTCTCTAACTGTGGTTACAAAAGAGCAGCATTAGCAGAACCTGGGACCTTGTTAGAAATGCATATTCTTAGGCCTCACACCCCGCCCCCCCCACCCCACCTATTCTGGGGGTGGAACCCAGCCATCCAGGTTTTAATGAGCTCCCCAGGTGATTCTGATGCACATTCAAGTTTGAGAACCACTTAACTAGAAGATTACCAATGATTTAGATCTATGTGGAGAAAATCCTGTCTTGTCTTCCTCCCAGAGGTCATTATTATCCTAAATTCTGTACTTTTGCATTCATGTTATATACATAGTATGTCTAAGCAACATATTGTTTAATTTTGCTTGTATTTAAACAGTCTTAAGAAAAGATTTCATGCTACTGTGGTCTTCTTCCACTATTTTCACTCGTTTTGTTACTAAGATTCATCCATGTTTCTTTCTGTAACTCTAGTTACTTCATTTTGACTGCTGAATAATAATTTGTGAATGGAGGCATTTGGTAAGTTGGATCGGATTTGTGTGGTGATTTGGAAAGTAGAGCAATCAAATTCTCTAAACAAGTACAATAGGTAACACAAATATTCTTTGAGTACTTAGTTGATACACTCTATCTGATCCAGCAGCTTAGGAAAGGAAAGTGAAGAATAGGTAAAAACTAAAACTGGAGGGTATGTACAGCACCCTCCAGAAAAGGAGATAAATCCAGGCTAAATGTCTAAGAAATCAAGTTTTCCAGTAACTCTCCACACCCCCCACGCCACCCCTTTTCCATGTAATCAATTCTTTAGCATAAAAATATGCTAGTTTTTCTCCTGTTTTAAAGAGAAAAAACTCTAGGTTGCGCCGGGGTGGCTCAATCGGTTAAACATCTGCTTCGGCTCAGGTCATGATCCCAGGGTCCTGGAATCGAGCCCCCGCATCGGGCTCCCTGCTCAGCAGGGAGCCTGCTCCTCCCTCTCCCTCTGCCTGCCGCTCCCCTTGCTTGTGTTCCCTCTCTCTGTCAAATAAATAAATAAAATCTTTAAAAAAAGAAAGAAAGAAAGAAACTCTCAACCACCACTACTGCTCCATTACTTTCCTTCCCTTTATAGCAGATTCCTTGAAAGAAATGGCTATTGTTGGACATCTGAAGGGTTCAAATTGTTTGCTCTTAGGAACAGTACTACTATTAACTTTCTTGTATAAATCTCCTGATACTTACATGCTAAAGTTTCTCTAGGTATATATTTAGGAGTAATATTGCTGGATCATAGAGGATACGAAAGTTCAATTTCACAAGATAATGCTAAGATGTTTTCCAAAATGGTTAAACAAATTTACATCCCCATCAGCAAGATACCATTGAAGAGGTCTTTCCAATACTTGATATTAGCTCCTTAATTTTTGGCCAGTTACATAAGTATAAAATATTATCTCACTTATGTTCATAGAAACATTACACACAATAGCCAAAAGGTAGAAACACTCCAAATGTCTATTATCTGATGAATGGATAAACAAATATGGTATATCCATACAATACAATATTATTTAGCCATAAAAAGGAATGAAGCGCTGGTGCATGCTTAGGTAAACCTTTAAAACATTATACTAAATAAAAGAAACCAGGGACGCCTGGGTGGCTCAGTTGGTGAAGTGTCTGCCTTCAGCCCAGGTTATGATTCTAGGGTCGGGGAATCGAGCCCTCCATCAGGCTCCTTGCTCAGCAGGGAGCCTGCTTCTCCCTCTGCCTGCCGCTCCCCCTGCTCATGCTCACTCACGCTCTCTCTCTCTCTGACAAATAAATAAATAAAATCTTTTAAAAATAAATAAAAGAAACCAGACACAAAAGACTGCATATTGCAGATTCCATTTATATGAAATATCCAGAATAGATAAATGCATAGAGATGGAAAGGATATTAGTGGTTGCCAGGAACTAGGGGAAAGTTGGAATGGAGAGTGAAAGCCTAAAAGATATGGGTTTTCCTCTTGGGGTGATGAAAGAAATCTGAAACTAGATAGTGATGATCATTATACAATATTGTGAATGTACTTAACGCCATTGAATTGTACACTTTAAAATGGTTAAAATGATAAATTTTAAGTATATTTTACCACAATACAATGCTATCTCACTGTGATCTTAATTTGCAGTTACTGAAATAGAAGAAGCTAAGCATCTCTGTGTGTTTATTAACCATATATGTTTCTTTGCCTGTGAACTGCCTCTTTGTATTTTGTGTCTTTCTATTGACTTGTCTTTTTCTTTATTTTCAGAAGGTTCTTATATATTCTTGATGCTGTTCCTTTATTGGTTGATATTTTATAAATATCATATACCAAACTGTATATTGTCTTTTCACATTAAACTTCTTAATGAATAGAAGTTCTTAATTTTAATATAGTAGAATTTATCAAAATTTATCTTATGCTTGTCATTTTATGATTGTGATTATTTTCTGATTTTATTTTGCTTTAAAAATACTTTTTAGTACTCTGATATTAGAATAAATATATATCCATATTTTCACATAAAAAATGTAAAGTTTGCTTTTGATGTTCAAATTCTTCATGTAAAATTGAAATTTTTTTTAAAGATTTTATTTATTTATTTGAGAGAGAGAGAATGAGAGACAGAGAGCATGAGAGGGAAGAGGGTCAGAGGGAGAAGCAGACCCCCCCGCTGAGCAGGGAGCCCGATGTGGGACTCGATCCCGGGACTCCAGGATCATGACCTGAGCCAAAGGCAGTCACTTAACCAACTGAGCCACCCAGGTGCCCTAAAATTGAAATTTTTATATGATACAAGGTGGGGATCCAATTTCATCCCCATATAGATGATAAATTGTCCCAGCTCCATTTCTCCACTGATCTGCCATGCCACTTCCATCATATATTATATTTCCACATATGCAGGCTTCTGTTTCTAGGCTCTTTGTTCTATTGTATTGGTTAATTGGTCTATGCCTTGCTAAAAACAGATTTAATTACTATAACTTTATAATAAATCTTAATATGTAGTCTTAATATCCCCTCCTTATTCTTCTTCAGAAGTAGGTTAGGGGCGCCTGGGTGGCTCAGTTAAACACCCGACTCTGGATATCGGCTCTGGTCATGATCTCAGGGTAGTGAGATTGAGCCCTGCATCCAGCTCCTTGCTAAGGTTCTCTCTCTCCCTCTCCCTGTGCTTTATAAATAAATAAATAAATAAATAAATAAATAAATAAATAAATAAATAAATATCTTTTTAAAAACAAAAAAGAAGTATCTTAGACATTCTTGTCTTTTTATCTTCCACATAAAATCAACTTGAGTGATTGCATGCAAAAAACCTTTTGGGGCTAAGATCACCATTGCATTAAATCTATAACTCAACAACAGGTGTCAAGGGCTAGGTAGAGAGATAATTACAGTAGTAAGTGTTCCTAAAAAGGACTATGTATATCACTCCATTTACCTGCCACTCCTTTAATGCTATTCAGTAAAGTTTTATAATTTTATACATACAAGTCTGGCTTATATTCAGGAGATTTATTCCTAGAAACCACATGGCTTATTGATCATGTAAATGGCATCATTTTCTGAAAATTATGGGAGTTTAATTGTTTGTTACTGGTATATTAAATTGATGAAACCAATGAAGGTTAAGCTATTCTGTTTGAAGAAAGAGTGGTATGGTAGACCCAGAGCCCTGCCTGCTTGACCTCCCTTCATGATCAAAGCCCCCTCTCTTCACCAAAACTGACCCTCTTTGGAACCAGAGGGCTCTTCCATACATAGTTCAAAAACTTCTGATCTAGAAAAATAAACAGTTAAGAATATTCAATAAGGGGCACCTGAGTGGCTCAGTCAGCTAAGCGTCTGCCTTGGGCTCAGGTGATGATCTCAGGGTCCTGGAATTGAGCCCCACATCAGGCCCTCCGCTCAGCAATGAGTCTGCTTCTCCCTCTCCCTCTATGGTCTCTCTTACTGTCACTCTCTCTCAAATAAATAAAATCTTTTTTAAAAAGTAAAGATTTTATTTATTTATTTGACAGAGTATAAGCAGGGAGAGCAACAGG